AGACTCATCAACATTTGCATTATGTTTCTTTTGGACATACACCTGTACCTCCATTGGCAATTATCATTATTATCATTGAATTAAAATCAGCAAGGAACACGAGCAATGCATCAACTAGAGCAAACCTGAGCGGGCCAACAACCTCCAAGACAAACACAGCCTTAATCCCCCCCCCCATTTATGAGACGGTGGAATCTTTTACAGGCTCAGTCCCAACTGGATTCAATGGCCTACAGAAACAGCACCCTCCACATCTTTATTTACTGTCTGCTCAATCAGTCGTACCAACAGACAGCTGAAAAAATTATTGCACAAATATTTGCCTGTTGTTGTAAGTCAACGGCACCAATGACTCTTGAAATGTGACAACGACAGCAACAGTGCTAGCAAAACATACACACACTGCTAGACACGATGTCGCGGATTTACACATACTCACCTGTCAGCTTGTACAAATTCCAGAAGACAGCATGAACAAATACTAAGAGCTCTTAACTTTCCTAACACTCTGAACTTAGGCTGCATCCGAATCTCTTGTCTAGAGCTAGGTCTCGGTCTTCACTCCATTGGAAATGTGTGGAGACGCGTAGACAATAGACCTAGCCGTAGCTCTGGAAGCCCGTTTCGGACACGCGGCCTTAGTCACCATTCTAAACAGGATAATCTGAATACACAGTCCTGCATCAGACCACAGATCATTATCAATTTCTGATGTAATGAATGCATTCTACACCCCAATGAACACTGGGCCCCAGAGCCAAGCATTTGACAATGTTGACGGAGCGGCTGCTTTATTCACGAAAGACAGGCAACCAGCTCTGAGTGTCACACAATGCATACTGCTTTTGGTAGGTACCCAGCCCAATTCTATCAAACCAAATACTACTTCCAGTGTGCAACAAAGAAACATCACATGATGGCGATGGATTCCAGGCAGAACCTGTAAATGGAATCGTGTCACAAAATCGTATAGGGGAGGGGGAACATGACACAATCAAGCCGTACCTTTTTGGGGGCGACTTACCTATTACTGAGTAGGGAGCCCAGCACCATCAGACTATCCTCCATGAAGCTGATGACCTCGGTGATGTTGTCGCCTCTTAGGAGGAGCTCCCCTCGGTTCTTGAAGTTGGCAAAGATGAGCTCCCGAGCGCTCCATTCGGCAATGGTCGCCTTGAGCTTGGCCTCGATGTCCTTCTCCTTGACAGCCGAGATGCAGATATCCTGATGAACACGACAAAAACTTTATTCAACTGGACTCTTCTCGACCAGTTCTACTGAAGTTCTTTGGAAAGACAGAGCTCCACCTGCAAGAGTTGTCTTAACCTGGTTCTAATGCATTCAACAAGTGACCTTATCAGACTGAACTTGTTAATTTTAGGAACCACCATCAAGTATACCACAACTGCTTTGTTTTTTTTTTTTCAATTAAGTGGCTCTTTTCTTGGGAAAGATTGCAAAGTCAGGGGAGACAAAAATATGTATGTGCTTTTAGAATGTTCAAACACAGAGTGATGATTCTTTTATTATAATAGGGATAGCTGTTAATAAAGTTATTTGAAGAAATATTTTTACCTTAATAAATAATTACTTAATAAATGCACTCCATTGCCAAGTACACACTAAATCTCTTATTGCTGTAGATGAGTGCAACATTTTTTTAAACTTTATCTCTTTGGATTTGTTAGTTTATAAAAGGACCAACAGTCTCAAATATTACCCAAAATGCCAATATACGAATGTAATCTAAAGAAATTGTTATAAAAAGTAAGTTTCCAATGTTGATTTGAAAGCAACTTTCTGACCTCTTTACCATAATTATCCTGTATCCTAAGAAACTGAACTGATAAAATGTTTACGACTGAAAGGATGTACAGTGAGAAGATTATTTACGCCACTGGTTAGCCGTGCAGAATTTGGAGGAAAGTTGCTAGCCGAAATGCTCACAGGACAAGGTTAAACCGACCTCCATTGATTCAAAGAGATATTACAACATATCTGGGAATGTAGCTGGAAGATATATACACTGAACCTGGGTGACATTGACGGACAACCTCGGAAAGTTTGACCCCTTCAACTGACCTCAATATCCTCCTTGCACTGCAGCAGCGGTGCCTCCATGATGTTGCGGAGGCAGAAGGTCTCGCTCTCCACCTCAAAGACATGGCCGGTGGTCTCGGCCATGCGCTGCCAATGACGAGGCTTCATGGCTTTGTTGGTCATCAGCTCCAGCAGCGGGCAGGTCTCATTGAAGTCGTCGATAGTGTTCTTGAGGTCATTGAAGGCCGGCCACTCCTTCAGTGCACGAGGGAGCTTACGACATCTTGTCAAAGACACACACTGACCAGTGTTAACATCCCTGCTAAAATACCTACTTTTTCCAGTTCAACCTGTGGTTAAGTTGTCTAGGGAAAACGATTTTCTCTGTCTCTGTTTTCGTGTGGAATTCTAAAATTTCTGTTAATATGAGTAGTTTGATGTTTTTGGATACAACTGGTTACCATTTAGCCACCTCTTAAAAAAAGCTAGTAGTAAATATAGAGAGAGTGTTGGAGTTGAGTCCGCAACCTTCGAGGCCAAAGCCGAGTCAGAGTCCAGGGTCTCCAAGGCCAAGACTGAGTCACTGCCATTCGAGGCCAAGACTGAGTCACTGCCATTCAAGGACAAGGCCAAGACTGAGTCACTGCCATTCGAGGCCAAGGCCAAGACTGAGTCATTGCCATTCGAGGCCAAGGCCAAGACTGAGTCACTGCCATTCGAGGCCGAGGCCAAGACTGAGTCACTGCCATTCAAGGCCAAGGCCAAGACTGAGTCACTGCCATTCGAGGCAAAGGCCAAGACTGAGTCACTGCCATTCAAGGCCAAGGCCAGTTATTACACGCGTACACATATATAACTACTTTGGGCACTGTTGGCTGGCATACAAGATTCATCTAGATCCACAAAAAATTGTTGTACATGACAAGACAATCCTATCATTTAAAACTGGTGTTTCCCCTTACACCAGAGTCAAAATACATTTGTGTCTGTGGTGAAATTTGACCCATATCAAGTTGCTATTTTGCCAGGAGCTTTTCTGATTCTGAAATTTACTACCGTGGTTTTTAACAGAGATCTTCAAAATCTGGCAATGTTTCAATGCCTTACTTTTTGGTCAAATTATGTAGCAGAAAATTACAGATGGGCTACTTTTTTTCTATTTTGGAGGTACATCAAAACTCCACTCATGAAATGTTCTGGTTTAGGATAATGGATCATGCCAATAGGCCAGTGAGGTATTCCAACAGCGCATGCCTACAATGAAGTGCGTCCAAGGTCATTCAGATGCACCTGCAAGGTCTTCCCTACCAGCACGGCCCTACATGGACTCGCACACATGCTTTGCTCCTGAATGACCTTGCTCTTTGGAAATACAGAATTGTCTCACTAAAACAAACCCTGGAGCCTCAGATTTGACAGTAATCATGCCTCACAAACATGTTTACACCAAACAAGGACAATTTAACAATTTCGATATTAGTGAACATGCATTACAGGTTGGGTGGTTTAATTTTGAAGGAGGTTCACAAGGAGGCAATGGGAACGCAAAATGGTATTCTGTGAAAGCAAAATGACTGATGTTTTAAGGTTACTGGTAAAACCGATATTTGAGTTACTGTAATTCAGGTTAGGAGGATAGATGGAAAGGGTGCTTGGCTGGGGAAGGTCGGGTGTTACGGAAGGGCCAAGGTGTTTAAGGTTGGTTAGTCATGTCTTTTGAAGATATCACAGGCATCCGTCATGCACTGAGGGCAGTGAGACGCCCCCAAAACAGAGCAAAAAAGCAACAACATCCACAGAAGCAGTACACCTGTTAGCCATGGCTGAACTCACACAAACAAAATAAGAATGAAGGTGGTTATGAAAAATCTAAACATTCAACGACTTCTGTCACCGACCATGAAATGCAGAAAGCAGTTAATTAATGAAGCAGCTTGACATGCAAACAGTAAGAACAGATAAGAGAATGTGTTGAATAGGTTTTCTGTACCTGAACATTTAGCTGAGAGTACCCCGGGGTAATTCCAACAAACGAAACGAACATCGTTCAGAGTTGCAGGCTCACAGCCTGCTTTTTCATCATACAGATATGTGTCTCACTGTAACCGAGATTTTGCGGATCAAAGGAGTGTTTGTCTGTACGGATAACACTGGTAATGGCTTGCGGTATCACTGGTGTTTAATCACCTTTATTGGTCATTACCCTCCATACTACCTGCAGCCTAACATGTGCCCCGCAGCCAAGAGCATAGCAAAAAAAACAATCTGTGTAAAGGGCTAAATTGTTCATCATTGCTGAAGAGCATTAATCTCTGTCAAGTAAATACCCTTGGACGGGTGAGCTTTTGAAAGTTGCTTGTGAGGAGGGGACCAAGGGAGCCTAGAAAACAGGTCACTGAGAGCCTGTCTAGTAAATGTCCGTGGACGGGTGAGCTTATGGAAGTTGCTTGTGAGGGGAGACCAAGGGAGCCTAGAAAACAGGTCACTGAGAGCCTGTCTAGTAAATGTCCGTGGACGGGTGAGCTTATGAAAGTTGCTTGTGAGGGGGAGCCCAAGGGAGCCTGTAATACTGACAGCCACACAGAGCTGAAAGGGTTAGTGGAATACAAGCGGCTAGAAATTGGGATCACTTTTGATCGCAGGGGTTTATGAGGGTTAGCTAACCGCAACCACGAGTGACCACACACCAAATCAAGGACTCTTCAGCAAGCAAAAACCCCGAGACCCCACCTGTTCTGGAACTCAATCAGCTCCTGGTTGATCTTCTCGATGTCAACGTCTGCCCAGAGGATGTCGTAATAGCCGTTGACGCGGTCGATGACGTCGTTGTACAGCCCATAGAGCTTCTGCAGGAGGTTCAGCTCTTTCTTGATCTGGAGAAGCTCCGGGTACTCGGTGACGGGAAGGCCAAAGAGCTCCTCCCCTCCGGTGTAGGTGATGAACTTGCGGTACAGGGTGTCAAAACGGTTCTGGTAGATGACCAGCCGGTCACTGGCTTCCTTGGGCGGGATACCAGTGACCATGGGACCACTCTGAAGATGAAGAATAAAGTGATGGAAATTATAGTTCAAACCTGACACAAACGGCAATAAGAGACTGAAATGAACATGTCAGAGAAGTTCTGGTGAATGACTAGTTTGTTGCTTGGCGGGCACCAGTGACCATGGACGTACTACAATGAGAAATAGAATGATGAAATTTACTGGCTATACATACATTAACAGGGCTATAAAAGCACAAAATGAGCTTGCGCTACTAGGAGATCACTTGTAAACATCTCCATTGTATCAGTGTGGTGACAACAATTTTGTGACAACAGAATTCTATAATTTTGTTTGTGATACTTGATGTGCATTTTGCTATTATTAATTATTTTGACATATATTAAACTGCACCATTTATATACATGGATTGATACAGCATACCCAAACCATGCACCTCTTGGCCAAAGACACTGTATTAACCCATCTCAGAACCACAATGGGACTTTTAGGAGACTACATAAACAAGAATTTAGGAGCAACAGCTCACAACAGTTTTGAAACTACAAGTGAGTTCTTCAAACTGAAGTTGCATGATCAGAATATTGTTCTATTGATCAAAGGAAAAGACTGGCTTAAATGGAGGACATCGCACTTCCACATGCAAGTTAAACGACACGGCGAATGAGCCTCACATCATGATAATCTTGGTAGAAGTCGCTGCAGTCAGTGATGAATTCTTCCACATTGCTGAGCAGCCCGCCGCGGAACTCGGGCTGGATCTGCAGCAGGTGGTGGGACATCTCCACAGCCTGGGCCGCCACCCGCTCCCAGGAGTAGCGCAAAGTGTCCACCTTCTCCGCATCCTCCTTTGCCGTCAACAACTCATACCTGTTGAGGAGGGCGTAGGATTCCTGGCAGAAGTGGACGGGGGAAAAATAATGACAGAGTAGATTAGTCCAGTTTAAGGTTAAAGAAATTCCATTTTTCCATTTGCCAGCTGGGCGAAGACATTTTGTGCACATTCAAATGAAAATTGTGTGGACTAACCACTACATTCACACAAACCACTAGACATACACTGTACGCAATCTTGAACAAATGCCCTAGAAGGCATCACATTGCGGAGACTATCTCTTGAGTTTGGAAACTTTGGGCCAGACTCTGGTAATTTTCCAAGACAGTCCGAGTCACCCGGTAAACACTGCCCAACCAGCTAGGTATTCCACGCACCTACAGGTCTAGACTATGTGATCATACGTGCATGTACAACATTATCTTACTGTTCACACACTGCACCTGATGTGCACTGCAGTAGCTCACAAATCAACAGGTAATACACTGCAGTGAAACACGCGACGTATATCAGAGGGAGAGACATAGGCCTTAAACATCAGCTGGCTCTCAGCCAGTTTCTTTATCTCTAGAGTTAAAAGCATGGACTCAGAGCCTGTATCAAAGCAGAACAGAAATCAATCATTCGTGTTTATTATCATCAGAAATTAACCCGGACTGCTACAGCCGCGGCCCGATGGGAGGATTAGTGCGTACCACACACACATTCTATTCATCAAGCACCTGCGGTTTCTATGCCGACCAGGGCTCTTCATACTGAGCATACCGCAGGTCCAGCAGTCCCGTTCAAAACAATCCCAGCATTAGGGGGTTAAGGACCGATGCATACTATATAAGTGTACTTGAGCCAGGCTTAGCATATGTACCTCAATGGGTCCTATCTCCATATCGATGCGGATCTCGTTCTCCCGGACCTCCTTGAGAGACTGCATGACCAGGCGGATGTCATCCAGGTCCTTGATGGGACGGTTTAGCCTCTTGTTGACCTCCTCGATGAAGTCAAAGATGTCCTCCATCATGGTGCGGTACTTGTCGTTGCAGGCACGGCTGTAGGCCAGCTGCCAGGCGTGGGTCTCTGTGGTCAAGGCCAGCTTCAGGTTCTCTGTGTGGGACAGTGCAGTTTGAACATTAAGTCCACATATAGCTTCAATCACGGGAAGGCCTATGTATCACAGAAGCTTCCTTCCATGGATAAGTTTGAGCCCATAATTCTTGTCAATTGTTTCTTACCAATGCGTTCATGCAATACAGGCCGGCTTGAATGATGACCCTAGCCCAACCATTTCTGCAAAATCCCATCATTCGTCGTGGTCACTGCCGTCTTGCGCAATTCTTTCCCTATCAAAGGCTCCCTCTATACTTAAGTTTGAGAGAGGTTATTGATAGCCAGCAAACGGGCAGCTACACCAAACAATCAACTGTTCGAGGGACGTCAACTGAACAACAGTTGGATACATCTGCTACGTGAACCAGCCCCACAATAAACTGCAGATCTTTATTCAACTATTTCAGCATGAGTGCATAGCTACTGCATGTTTCATCTTCTGATCTGACCAATCAGACTGCACGACAGAACAAGAATCAGTACACAGGAACCAATCAGATCTCAGAAGCTATGTATTTGTTCCTTTCCTGCCTTGATGAGGTGTGGTTTGAAGTCAAAGAGGTCAAAGGTCAATAGATTTTAACGATGATTTTTGAAGTGCAATTCTATAAACAATTTCAAATTCTTAACAAATAGGCACTGCAGCATACAGTTAAGTAAATGCTTGCTCTGGAAACACCAGGGTTGGTGTACCACGTTAAAAAAAAGTGCAAAGGTTTACATAATAGAGACAAACTATTGCATTTTCAATGCTTTCAGGCTTTGAAGTGCACATCACTTAAACAAGGAATGGACTTTGTTTCCTTTAAACTACGCGATTTCTGACCAGACAGGATTGAGAACTACCTCAAGTCATCACTGAAAAATCTCCTACTAACCTGTGAAGAGGGCAATGGCGCCGACATTATAGAACTCGGGTTCGGCCGTGATCTGGGCCTCCAGGTCACGATAGTGGACCAGCATGGCCTGGAAGTCGCTGAGCTTGGGTCCTGCGGCCAGGAACTCCTCCAGCGTCTCGTTGCGCTCCTTCTGCCAGATGGGGTGGTAGTGGGCAAAGCGCTCCAGAGCCGTGGTCACCTCCTTCTTGGTGGAGTTGACACAGGTAGACAGCAGAGACACCAGCTTGGCAATTTCCTTGTTCTCGCTGACGCTCTTGAAGTAGTTCTTGGCCGGGATCTGGGGAGTGATGGCTTGGACGGGGGCGTCTTCTGGACGGCCTGCAGGGGTGAGAAGGGAAATGAAATCACTGGGAAGAAACTCTTCAGAGGCCGTATATATCTCTCTTGGATTGTACGTTAAAAATTCCTCACGAGAATGTCTGAAAGTATTTCAGAAAACACAGAAACCCTCTATAATCAGCTGACTCTGCTGTATGTAGGGTTCTCCCAACGTACCAAGATTGAAACAGCCTGGGGGGATGGCAGATGTTCAGTTGAAGAGGTTACAAAACTCTCACTCTTTGTTACATCATTCAAAGTTGTTGTCAAGTTCTCTGAAGCCCATCACAAGTCCATCACAAGGCCTTCACAAGGCCATCACAAGGCCTTCACAAGGCCTTCACAAGGCCATCACAAGGCCATCACAAGGCCATCACAAGGCCTTCACAAGGCCATCACAAGGCCATCACAAGGCCTTCACAAGGCCTTCACAAGGCCATCACAAGGCCATCACAAGCCCCCAGTCAAGTCACAACCAATACAAATGAACTGTGACAAAAGGCTTTCCTTCGTCGTCCCTGTTACTGGTGACTTCGACTTGTGACTTTAAGGAAATGACCAAAAGGAAAACGAACATGTTCAACCGAAACTGAGCTGCCCAAACAATAATCACGAGAACCTCCCCTGGCCTGATCATACCTCCTTTGCGAGACACAATGTCACTGCGGGAGCTCTCAGATGCAGCCATGCTGGAGATGCTGCTGCGTCGTCCTTGGTCACCCAAAGCCATGGCTCGTAGATCAGCCTCTTGCTTAGCCTGGGAGGGCATCAAAATAAATGGAATGAAATCATTTTACGACAGTAGTGTCTTATTTCCCGATTTTGGACACCCCCCCAAAAAAAAAGCCAAGACAAAAAAGCACCACAAAACACCACTTCAAATCGTAGTTTGAATACAAAATAACATTTGACAACAGAAATGTAAGATAAGGATTATGCAATGTGAACTGTGCAGATACGAGTTAAGGTTTCCTGCGACAAAGAGGATTACCGAGTGTGAAATATATTATCCAATAAATCTGAGTTTCTCTTTTTTGTGGGGTGTAGTTTAGTTTGGTTAAAGTAAAGACCTTAATCCCTTCTCTTGGCACATTGGGGACTGTCCAAATGGTCCACAGAGGTATGGTATAAAAACAGACCCAGACATTGATGTTCCATGAAGCTGTCTCAAAAGTATCACAGTTTACCACCAGTGAGATTTGAGAGTAGGACCGGACCTATCACCATCTGGCAACTCCCTGGGAACACAACCAATCCAGAATGACTCTCACCTTTGACTTGCGTTCCTTGTTCCACTGGGCCACTCCCTTGGACACGCCCAACACCAGCTGAGCGGCCTTATTGACTGCCTGCTGGACTTCGTCAAGGGCAGGCTGCATGATGATGTTGGGGATGGACAGGGTCACGTTGCAACGGAAGAAGGGGCTGTCCTTCTTCTGGACGTCGCTGCGCTGCAGGTCTGAAAGCAGAAACAGAAACAGAGAGTAATACGTGATCTGTCTAATATTCGCAAAGTATAAACTAGGTCCTTATCAATTGTAACATTATAAAGTTTGATACAAACAATAAAATTTCACGTTTTTTAATTAAAGTCAGCCTATTTGTAAGAAAACCTCTTTTCAAGCTGTGCAAAAGCTAAACTGAAAGTCACATCTCTAAATCCCCCCAAAATCAGGATGAGCCATCTCTAAATCTCCCAAAACTCAGAATGAGCCAAGTTTCACATGACTTGAACACATTTAAAATCATTGTTTGTCAGACCAAGTAAACTGACATCACAGAGGTTCTTCAGTTTTAGTGGCTCTGGGTTGAATCTCAACAGTGACTTGCCTGAATTAGGTTTCTAAGAACACATATTTAAAAAAGCGTCCATCTGGATGCTATCAGAAGTGGGGGTTGCCTTGTAGCTCCCAAACCCAACTACTATTTTAAGCAAGCATGCCTAGATTCCTGGGATATCCAACAGCGTGCAAGTCAAAGGTGCTGATGGCGACCTACCAATGTAGTTCATAATAGAGCTGCTGGTCACCCTCTTGCGGATGGAGTCTAGCGTCTGCCGTGTCACTTTGAGCAGGGCGTCCAGGTTGCGGTGGTTGAAGTGGGCCAGCAGCTCCTGGGCTGCTTCCTCCAGGTTCTCCTGCATCTCCCGCTTGCGCTTGGCTACGTTGGCAGCCGCGGCTGAGTGGGCCCGGGAACGAACCCCACCGCTTCCCAGACTGCGGGACTGGCTGCGAGCACTCAGACGGGAAGGAGTGGGGCTGGTGTGAAGCTTCTCACCATCTGATGCAAATATTTTTGGCACAAAAACATACTATCAAGACTAATTTGGAATTAAAAAGAGGTGAGAAGTGAGATTTTCGATCTGAAACCTTTCATATACCATGCTGGCACAGGATCTTTTTTCCACTTTAAACAAATTTCTTACTTTAACTGCAACTGCTTGCTACACTATTACTTCCAGATTAAAAAAAATGCCTTGTTTACACTCCTAGCATAATGACGAAACAAACATTCCTTTCTTCTAATTTCTCTTGACCCAGCTCCAAGAAGCATCTTAACAGAAAATGCTTCTATCCTAATTTTCTTGCTGAACAGAAGTCAGGTGGGAATCAGTTACATGGGAAATACATTACACGACAGTTGGCTTGCAACTTTTTATCCAACCATCAAATCCAGGGACCTCTGTCAATGTCTGGCTTTGAATATGATTCTACTTTCATCCCTAAACCTCGAACATTGAAGTTCAGGAAAACTGAGAAAGCCACCCATAGTTGGCTATGAATAAGCAACCAGTCCTGATGTTCTGCTCACAACACAGGGACTCATCAAGCAAGAGTCCCTAGAGTTAGAGACCCAAATGTCAAGCAAAGCCGACGATAGAGCTCAAAACTAAAAGAATTTCACACAGCTACTTAAGCACAAAATTTGCTTAAGCGTAAAAAAATCCTTGCTTAAACAGGTTACCTGCTCAAACTCTACGTGATCGTTACGCTAACTACAAGACAGCTAAATATCATTCCAAAACAATATACATCACATGGAGTTTTGACTGGTAACCTAATTTTATCAAGCATGGTTTTTTCACGCTTCAGCATATTTTGTGCTCAAGCAGCTCTAAAGCACTGTTGGCCTTACTCTCTTCAGTGACGTCCTTCTCCTTTTCGTCTTCCTCATCTTCCTCTGCCTCCTTCTCCTCTTCGTAGCTCATTAGCATATTGATGAGCTCACTGGCCGCCTCCTCAACCTGGGTGCTCTTGTTCTGTATGGTGATGGCCCCACGGTTACACAAATCCTACAGGCAGACAAAAGGTTGCAGTACAACTGGCTCAGGATTTGTCTTGTGAACCAAAGAATGCGTAAGGTGCATTTTCAAGGACCATATGCAAAAAAAAATGTATCAAACAGATCATTTAATGCCTTCGTCTCAGAATTTCAAAATGCCAAGAGCATTCAACTGGGGATGCAGCTCGTTTTATGGGCAATAAAGGATTTTCGGTAAAGTGACTTTTGACAGTCAGCAATCAATGTACACAGATGTTCGTGGGAACAAGTGCGCCTTTGAAGTCTCTCAACATTCTGAAACTGCCAATAGAACTAACCAGATTCAAAAGTGCACATGCCTCCACAGACACGGTAAGCTTCCTCAAATGCCTTTGCCTGTCACATTACATCACGTGAAAAACATCTATGGGGGCAATTTTTATGGGTATTTTTTCATTGAATCGAGGGGCACACACTGTCAGTGTCATCTGAGTAAACAGCCAAGCCCTCCCTCTATGTTACCACTGAAAGGGTGCCAGCGTGCAGAGTCCACGAGGGGACACTAGCTGTTCCCTTGTGGGAATATTTGCCTTCGTGTGGGAGTTTTGAGATGCTATGTCAAGTCAGATTATGTGGGGGGGAGGGGCAAAGGAAGAAGATGGGAGGAGGATCACTGTGGCAAGCCGTGAAGACACACCTGTGTGTTCTGCAGGAACTGGTCAATAGTCCAGGGTTCCTCTTCAGGGAGCTCACAGAGCAGGGTGGTGCTCATGTCATACAGGACGGCGTTGATGCGGAACTGACAAAGGTCGTTGACTCGGTCCATCAAGAGCTCCAGCTCACCTGTTAGAATATTAAACAGACAACAACAAAATCATGCTCAGCCCATTTCTCTGTTCAAGGTTCTTTACTCGTTATCAATCCTCTCCAAACCATCATCACGATAAAGTAGTTTTTCACACCCCAGTTTTTCCTATTTCTATGGGCCCCAAGCTGGACAGACAGAGAGTGCCATTTCGCAAGCAATGCAGGCCCCTTTGGTACGAGCTTCACTTCGCTGGATCATGAACAACTATGAAATTCATGCAATGCATGCACGTTGCTACCAACAAAACGAACACTCCCAACCAGCGTGGCTCTTTTCAACCGATGAGGGAATGCTTCTACTCAAGGCAGAGAGGCCTACTTTAGTGCAGCACTTTTAAGTAAAATACTGTGTTTTTATTAAGTGCACAAGACGATCAATATTGACACCTGAGTGACCAGGTACACCAGCTCTAACAGTCCTCAATCCTCTGATTTCAATGATGTTACATACACACTATGAGGTTAAGGTTAATGTTATTAGGCCATAAGGAAATGATTGAACTGGCTGGCTAACTTCTTCCATAGGCATATGCCCTACTTCCAAGTAATTCAAAAACGGCCAACCTAATGACTCGTAGACGGTGTCTATGTAGCCGTCAATGTTCATGCTAGTCCAGGACAGCATGGTCAACCCTGGCTCCACCACGCTGTCCAGCTTGTTGATATGTGGCACCATCAGGGACTCAAAGGCAGGCTGGATCTTGGCACGCACTCGCTTGTTCTCTTCCATCAGTAACTGGGGAAAGGAAGGTTATTTCACATTTTGAAGCTAGAAAACTGTGATTTCAGATTAGCACTGGTGATAAGTAATGGCACACTGGAGGGCAGTTTGTGTAAAACAATACACCAAAAAATTCACCTGTTCACAGAGTATTCACTCAAATTTTTACTTCTCCAAAAATGTATTACTCCTAAGAATTATTGGTAAAACGATCACAACACACAAGTAAGTGTACACATGCAAAACGCGATGTTGGGAAAAGAATTGGAACGCGAAAAGAAAATGGTGCAATACTTGGATGGTTCAGTTCTTAGAAATCCTGTATCTCACAAAAGATTAACTAGTTTTCGAGGTCAATTTGGATGATCTAAAAGTAGCTGATTCACAAGACAAGATAGAACCAGAGAACCAGCCTTTAGCTCTACCACTGAGGGCCTAATATTCTAGAGCTATAGTTGAAGCCCACCAAACTCCAAATCATAGTTTAATCACAAATCCACTCACAAATAACAGGGAATAAATAGTGACAAAACAATGTCTTAGTCATAGTTGATTTGAACGGCTTGTGACTTGGCTTCAGACTGGATGGTTTGTGTTTGATTTGCAAGGACTTGTGACGGTCTCGTCACAACACCGTAAAAATCCCCCTTAATCAATCACAAGTCCCTTCACAAGACAAGTCAAAAGTCCTTTCACAAGACAAATTGTAAGTAACAAGGCAAACAATAACAAAGGAATGCTGGTGTTGCAGTTCATTTGAAAACCTTGTGACTTGACTTAAGACTGGATGACTATGGACCTCCAGGGACTTGAGATGGACAAGATTATGACACTCTACAAATCCTCCGGAAATCTTGCCTCACCTGTAACTTGTTGTAGTGCTCCTTGAAGGTTCCCTGTTTCTGGCGGATGGCTCTGGCCGCCAGAGGAATGTCCAACCCTAGGCGGCTCATGCACTCTGTCTCTCGGATCAGGGTCAGGATCTGGGGGTCAAAGTTCACAAAGAGCTCGTTGGTCTCTGGGTGGCGGACCAGCAGGGAGGCGTGGAGGCCGGACTTAATGGCTTCAACCTGGACGGGATAAAGACAACAATATCAACAAGTTGGTGAAAGGGTCTGGGTTTTTTTAATTTTATGACATTCAACATGTAAGTACATGATCGTCGGTCGAGACTTCAACATGGCAAGTTATGAACATGTACACAAAACCTATAGAAACCAAGATCATTTTATTTCAGTGCATCTGAAAAATCCAAGATATTGTGTAGTTGGTCTAGATTTCACAGAAAAATCAAAAAGTTAAGTGGTGAAAGTAGAGTCTCTCATCGACCAATGTGGCCCATCAAACCAGCAGCTGTTTCCAGATTCAGCTGCATGAAACAATTGAGAATACGTCTACTCTCCCTGAATAGGAAGCCAGTCCACTGCAGGCTGCTCGTTAGTTAATGTGAGTGCCTCATCAGTTAATGCAAGTTAAGTACTCCTTTATACTCCTGGATGGAGACAGGCAGGTGAAATGGCTTGCCTAAGAACACAACTGAGGACCAGCAGCTGGATTCTAACCCCTGACCCTCTGATTATGAGCCACGAACCCTAACCATCTGACCAAAATCCCCGGGTAGAATAATTCAACTCTCGGTGAACTGAGTACAATCAGTAAGGGATCGGTTGTGGACACTTTACCTGTCTGAGCCACGCCCGGTGATACAAGACCTCAAACTCCATCAGCACCTTGGCCAGTTTGTTGTAGTTCTTGATGATACGCTTGGCCTCCGCCCCTTGCAGGAGGTGGGGCATGGTCTGGAAGACTTCCATGGGTTCCTGGATACGCTGGAACATCTGGCGTGCCCAGGTGATCTTGCCTGCTATCGGGGGCAGGTCGCGGGCCACCGGCGGCTCGTTCTTGTGCCGCTGGTAGTTGCGGGAGGTGTTCTCGATCTCACGGCCGTAGCGGGAGAGGATTAGGGCATACTTTTCGGTAATACCAAGGCCAGGAATGGTTATTCTGATGTTGGAAAGTAGAAATTGATTAAAGAACATTTCTTTCCTTCATATCTCAAAATAGATGTTTTCATTCCAAAGCATGGAAGAACATCAACAAACCGGCCCAAAAACAAAACAATGCTTTTTCAAGAACTAAATACAAGCCATGCCTGTTTAATAAAACGAAGAACATTAAAATTAGATTTCCGTGTAAGATGCTCATCGGGTATGATGGACATTTGGAATTCTACAGCAATTTGAAATACTACTTATGAAAAGCAGGAACACTGCAAGTGTTGCAACAGTGGATAACGTTAACGATAACGTAGATAAAAACGCTACAAATGAAGGCATCATTTACCTCTCAAACTTCTTCATGACCTGAAGGGCCCTGAGCACGTTGTAGATCTTGTCAAAAGTAGCGTCCATAAAAGATTTAATTTGTGCCTGGATGATAAACACACAATGAACGTCATCAAGCCTTATCAGAAGAACAGAGGCACTCAAAATGCAGACTACCTAACCAAAGCCAAAAAAATTGGGGGTAACATGAGGAATCTGAATGCTTTCGTTAAGAACTTTCTTGACAGACACTCACATGTAGCTCCCCAATGCTCCTCTTGAAGTCTTGGTAGTCGTTATCATAATCAGTCTTGCGTTGGTCCAACAGATCATAGGGTTTCTTCTTCATGGACGTGTAGATCACCATAAACTTGTTGGCCATGATTTCCATTCCTGTGGGAAAATTTACGAGCCCAGACTCAAGTTTACAAAAGAAAACAGAAGATGGAGAGAAGAGCTAAATTATTTTGTATTTTAGGAATCGTTTGAACGGAGGATTATAAAGACTAATATCTAGAAGGCACTTACTCGGGCAAGCCGCTTGAGCCCCATGGTGCCACAATTTTATATGTGAAATTGCAGCATCCTATGTAAGTTTTTCACTATGAGTTTTTGCTACACTTTGTTCAAATGTACATGTCATTCCACACTTTGCACCAAAAAAAGTCTACAGCATACCTTGTTTTTCAAAAGACAATTTTTTTTAACCATTTAAAGAAACTGCATAGTGCCAGGTGCTTCTCATGCTTTGGATGACAGAGTGATAAATCAACGGCATCCTGCTTGATGATGATTACAGGTGCCCATGTCGTCAACATCCATTCACACCGCCACAGGGGAACGATGGCCTTTTTATCTATTCAACAACTTCCTGACTGTCTTCCTCTTACAAGTGAAAGAAACCTGATGTACCGATCACTTTGTCATGCAGACTGAGGCCTGTCTCAGGCTAGATTTCAGGCAAGGAAGTGGGTGAGTAACCTTTTTGCTGAGCAAGATCGTCAAATATTTGACATTTTCATAACTGTTCACTGATGTGATATTTAAGGGAACTTTGAAGAAGCATTGGATACAGCCATCTCTTCCTGATCAGTAGTTGTAAATACCCTTCCAAACTTCTTTTACATGGTTTGACTGAGTTATGTTTATGCTTTCTGTAGAAAACACTGGTTAGTAAGGTAAGCCAATAATTTGTTTCTTTTGCCTTTTTTCAAGCATTTCAAACATGCTGAGTTCAGCATATATCCTGCCCGACGTTTCAAATTGAGAATAATTTCGAAGATTCTAAAGACTCTATTAGATTATATCAGCAAAAACAGGCGTTCAATTTTGAAAGAAAAAAAGTGACCAAGTAATTGTACAACCTGATTTACAATACATGAGAAAAAAATATAAATACATTATGTGTTACTGCAGAGAATAAAAGGAATTCTGGCTTCGGACTATGATAGAGAATTTCATCAAGCTTTATCAAAAGAAGACGATGACTGTCCTTACATGTGCATTACTCAGGATTATGTCGCCTCCAGGAACGTGAGTGAATGGTATCTTACCCTCAATCCTAGTCTCAGCCAGGTGAGAGTACATCTCCATGGTGTCAAACATGTCGATGATCTTCTGCAGGCGACGCTGGAAGGTGTCAAACTTGCCGAAGATGTACATCTCGGAGAACTCAAACTGCCGCTCGTTGGGCATGGTCTCCAGCTTCTGCTTGGTGCGCTGGAAGTGACGCTGGTACTCGCGGTTGAGGTGGATGCAAGCCTTGAGCTTAGGGATCAGCTCCTCCGTGGGCTGGTCCCAGACGTTCATGGTGCCCTTCTCGCTGATGTAGGCTTTGCAGGACGTGATCATTTGGTTGGTCACCTGGTTTCAAGAACAAGCAATTCTTCTATTTCCCAAGAAATCACTTATACAAATAATCTACACTGGGAATTTAACTCTTCGCCAAGTGTTTGAAGTTTAGTGGCACTGCTCAACAATGACAACAACAGATGTCAAAAAAGGACCCTCCATACATTATTTCATTATGAATGCATGTACTGCAGTGGCTGCAAGGACAGGGTCATGCTACTTTGAAAACTGCACTGAGTCAGGGAACAAGACCAAATGCATGCTGCATTTTTTTATGCCTCTATACTTCAGTGTGTACTTTAAAACTACAACAAGCAAATCATTCAAGAGAAAGAAATGAAATTAGTTACTTTAAAAGAGGCTCTTCACTCAGAATAGCTTTACATTTAAAGTGCAGATAACGAATCAGGAACTAACACTCTACCTTCACAAACAGTGAGGTCATCCTTTCAGAAGTGTTGTAGAATCTTGATATGCTGTGGATCATGCGAATGGCATTGATCAGTCCTGGGATGGTTTCAATCATTCCACTCTAAGAACAAGAAACATCAGCACAATGGGAACAGACGTTGTCGAGGGTGTAACTCATCAGGTATCAATTACACTACTTTATTTATACTCCATTTTGCTTGATGAACATTTCAGCACAACAGGCTTAAAATTTAACGGTGCCTTTTAATCATCACAAACACTGAACAATGATTACTCACGTTGGGATGTTGTTAAGACCTCCAAATAGAAAATGAAGATGATGCTTTGAAATACTTTACAAAGGAGCCAAGACAGGGCTCACTGTACATAGGCACATTTGTTACGAGTGAAAATAGCACTGAGATGGTGCCAGAAATATTTCAACTGAATGGACACAAAACCTGAAATCCCTTGTGCAAGATGAATGCAACAGTGCAGGGGCGCAAAACCGAAACAGCTAAATATACATGTAAACAGCAGTGGGTTGCATTTTTGCTGAGGGCATGCCCATGGAAATGGTATCTCTCATTTTAAAATTGTAGTAAATAAAGTAAATAAAAGAAATGCAATAGATAAATCAAATAGAAGAAAAAAACACCAAATCGCAGCTTACAGGATCACTGTTGTACAGGGGATCACAGAATTTATCCAGTGTGTACAGGAATTTCACGTTGTCCTTGGCTTCGTTGGCGGCATCAGTGATACGTCGATCAAGATCCATCCAGGTCTGAAATCAAGTTAAGTGAAACCCAATGAACTTGGAATCCCATCGTGACTCTAACCTAATTACCTTCAGTAGCCTGATGCCTTACCTCACAACAAGCCCACAGGAGTGAAGGTTGCACCAAGGCCTACCCAGGAACACTCCCGGCCCTGTGATTTCTCTGTGTTCACTGATGTGTTATCCTCTTGTGCCAAACTATGTGCACAGAGCAGAAAACGTTCCTGCATTTCCTTATCCCAACCATCATCAATCTCCCTCACCTTTATGGAGCGACTCTTGGCAGCCTGCAGCACCCCCAAAACCCCCTTGACCTCCGGTGCCTTCAGCTGCTCCAGGAGGTAGTTGAAACGAGCCATCCTCTTCTTCCAATGCTCCAGCTCCGCCCGGGGTCCAATGTTGTCTGCCTCCTTGCGCATTTGTTCGCTTTCGGTCAAGACCTAAGAGACGAGTGTACACTCAATAATGTGGCGCTAACACAGCACTTTAGACAGATATCTCAGAGAACTTCACATTTAATACCCAATTCATTGCGCCCTAAGATAAGTGTTTATGCAGAGATTAATGCAACCTGTTCCCATTTTTCCAGCAACCCAATTACACTCCTGGGTTTAGGATGCAGTTATATATAGTAAAGTGTCTTGCCCATGAACACAAGAACCATGATCCCTGTAAAGGTGTGAACCAAACATATTGCTGCAGTAGTTAACACAGTAACCTGTGGATAAAACACTCTACACAATCATTCCCACACATGTGCAGGTTTAATTGACGATGTGCGACAGCACAGTGTATGTGGTTTGGCGATCCCCAAATTCCAGATGCCAATGTAGAGCTGTCCAGCAATAGTCAATATTGTCCTTACTTGTTCAATCTGTTTGATCCAGACTGCCATGATGCCCTCAATCATCTCCAGATCCTGGGTGCTGTTAGCCACCGTGATGTAGTCGGAGGCCTTGGTCAACTTGCTCAAATCGTAGGTCTCACACTTACGCAGCTCTACTCTCTCCTCCAAGGAATCTTGGGCGGCGTTCAGGATGGTTACAAAGGCATCCAGAGATTGGAGGAACTCTTTCCGTGTACCCTGATTGGCCTGATATGGATTGAGCAGTGAAATCATTGGGTTTGATTTACCACAACTTTGACAAAATTACCAGCTTCTAATCTGAGAGCAGAAAAAGCTTTAAAATATGGAAGATGGAGACAAAAGAGGGGTCAAAGGGCACTGTTGTAGTTGAGTCCTCCCCGAGTCTCATCACAAGTCCAGTCACAAGTGCCAGAGTGAACAATAACAGGAATGCTTCTCTCACTGGTCGTTTGAATAGCTTGTGGCTTGGCACAGGACTGGATGACTTTGCGTGGACTTGTAGGAACTTGTGATGGGCTCACCTACAAGACTGATGAAGAAAGCGCGTCTTCTACAAATTGTGCACTTCTGTAGCCAACACTTCAGTTCGTTAATCCATAAGGAAGCCGCCGGTGGCTTACCTGTGACCCAAGCTGACCCCAACCATTCTGGTTTCCCTTCAGGAATGGCAAGAAGATATCTCCCAGGTATCTCTCTATGGCCTGGAGCAGGCCAATCCCGCCGGTGTCCATGGATGTGAAGATCAGGTCCTAATGAGGACAAAAAAAAGGGAAAGGATGCAGATGACAGCAGATAGGTATGAGGAAAGTCACTTGGTAAATACCAATGCGTTCATGGTGTGGAATTCAATTTAGCAGTAATTTTTGGCACCATACAAACTGAATGTTTAGTTTTCAATTATTAAACATTTCACCAAAAACTGGCCACAAAAATATCCAGTCAATTTTAAAAAGTTTTTCAAATTTGCCACAATTTCCATGCACTCCTTGCTTAGACTGCATGCGAGTAGGTTTCAACTTATTACAAGTTTTGAATTTAAATGTGCAAAATTTGGTTGTCTTTTTTGAAAAAGGAACAAACCTGAGCATGAGCATGTGGTGTCAATGTGTCCTTTACTAAATGATGTTTTGCATTATAAACATAACATCATGTGGACTACACTAATTTCAACTGAATGCGTACAATTCTGAAGTGTGAGGAAAATCACACCTAACAGCAGGCACACAATCCTAAAGTGGCCTGCAACAACATTCCCCGTTTTCGATTTTTACCAGGCACAAAAACACACACAGCTTTCAACAGGGCATATCAAACTCTGTAGTGTCACAGCATCTGAGAAAACAGCTGCAGGCAAGCACAGCACAATGTAAACGTGTCCACCAACAACCCTGTGGATACAGTTAGGCAGAGAGACAAGAAACGATGGTGTGCAAGGACTTTATCACTACCACTTTATGAAACACGAGACTTACTTTGTGGACGTTATCTGACGTGATGGGCTTGCTCGGGTTGGCGCGTAGAAAGAAGACACAGATTCCGCACAGCGGTGCCTCTACTCCATCCGTTACAAAGAGCTTGGGCTTGCCTGTCTTGCCTGACTTGATGCTGGCTGGACCCAATCGCATTGGCTCTCCTGGGGGGGGCGTAATTAGAACTTCAGATTTATGATCGTCCAGATATCGCCTTATCTTCAATTTCCCAAGATGCTTATTTCCTAGACTTATTTGAAGCCTGAAGTTAAGGTCAGTTCATACTTCAGGCCCATGTGGCAGAGCTGGATATTTGTTGGAGTTTCTGTAAGCGTTTTTTCATAGGAGTAGCTCCCCTAAAAAAATACACAGTTTTAGTTTAGAGTTCCCTTGCATTTTTTGCGTCATAATCATAGGGAACCAGGATTCTCACCCATAGGGCCATTTCATCTTGGTTCCACCAACACAAGAGTGATGCAAATTTCTCCCAAAACAGCTGCAGCAAAATTGGCTTGAGTAATATATTTGTTCATCGTTTCAAAATTCAAGGTGCGAGTACTACATCTAACATCAAAATTTCGCATCCATATTGGCTACATTCTCCTCTGACTTCTAAAAAACAAGCTATCCAGGGGAAAAAATGGAAAGTAATAGATCTACTTCATTTTTCTGCCAACGTTTTAGTTTCGGGATGTCACTCTTTGAAGTAGGGCCATTCCAGGGGTGTATGTAATATTTGCTACTTCACATAAACAGCACAGGGGTCAATTTTCTGAAATGCGGTTAACCTTCATTTAATAAAAAAAATGAGTTTGAAAAACAAATTTTTTTTCATCTTACCCGTCCCTCCATCTTGCATCCATGGATGTTTACCACCTACAAAACAGGCATAATGTAACAGTTACAAATTCCTTTCAATGTCTGTTTTGACTTTTCCTCTGGGTAATTTTTTTAATACAACAAATAAAATTTATTATTAGCTTTTCTAAATCCTGTACTGATGCTTGCAAAGTGTGAATTCTTACGGCACCTTTAACAAAGCAAGGGAGCTGATTATGGTGTATTTTACCATCCTCTAAACTCGTGTTTTAAACCCGTATTTCATAAAATATATGAAAATAGTAACAAACTACTTCAATAAGCGGGATAAAAATAGTACACTGATTCATGTGTAATTATGATCTCTAATGAATGTTTATTTTCAAAATGTACTATCATTCCATGGAATCGTGGAATTCTCTCTGTAGAAAAGTTAAACACACTGTGAAGTAGATCAGTGTCCTACCAAAGAAGAGAGTGCAAGCCCAAAGCCCAATTTCACAGCAAGCTAATGAGAAGATGTTGCTAAATAGATTTCATGAGCAAAACAGAAGCAGCAGGGGACCAGTCACAAGAAGGATACATCACATAATATGTTGGTTCAAAAAACTTAACATTGTTAAGCGGATATTTTCATGGCTGAGCAAACATCTGTGCTCAGCTACACTACAAAATTAACCCCCTGGTCTGAAGGACAGGTTCGAAAGCATAGGCTCTTTCCATTCCCCAAATTGTCTGTAAAACAAGAACCGCCCACCTGTCTCTGGGCCAACATCCGTCTCCTGATAAAAGAACATCAGATGGCTGGAGGCTTCAGTGTCAAAGAATTTATCCATCTTCTCGATCTGTCAAGCACAAACAAAAATCGGACATCCATTACGATACTGGCTACAGTTAAACTATGAAGCATGAATTTGCACTTGAACCTAACAAATCTGTTTCTCTATACTTTTATCTTCCTGGTCAGTCAAATGGAACCAGCTGGTTGGATTACAAACAAAATTCAAAAACTAGTCCTTTACCCTGGTACTGATAACTTACCGTGTTACCCTCCAAGATGGCATCTTCCACCTCAGTCTTGTCCAGATTGAGGCTGGCTGCCGTGGCATCGATGATGAACTCATGGCGGGAGTCCAGGTGAGCACGCTTTGCCTCCTTCTCCTCCTTGAGCTTTTGCTATTAAAAGGAGAACAAAAGAAAGAACACATGTAATGTCACACGGCAAGAGCCTCCCACAAACTGACCACACCTACAGTACTTCAGAAACCTACAGCATAACCCTGGAGTTTTACTAGCTTTATCCAAGAATTGTGATGAAATCTTACTTCTTTCCAAATTTATATAGTACTTTATGGCCTTATTGGCAAGTTTTTGTGTCATTCAAAGAAATGTTAACACACTCTCCTCAACATTTTTAACTGCATGTATACTAGTATATGTGTAAACAATTTTATTCTAAAAGTGAAAATGAAATATTTTAATACCTCACTACTTTCCTTGCATTTTAATTTTTAAATTCCAATTTTAAATGGATTTCTTGAATTTAAACAATTTATTCAAATGAAGAAACGTCTGATTTCCCTGGAAACTGGGAGACCAACATGTACCCCTAAGCAAGAATTACTCTCTGATTTTCACTATTCGAGGAATTGATTGATGTTGTGATTCTGATTAAAACAGAAAAGGGGGTCTGAGGTCGTCTTCCTCCGCATATCAATTATTACTGGACAGCCAATTGTGACAGCATCTTCACACCTATTATCCAACAGAGCAAGCAAATAAACCTTGTCGCCAAGCGACAGGAAGCCAATTTGACAAGCAATTTAATATTCAGCGCAGAGTCCCCATCACTGTATGCACACATACTTATCCTGTTTGCTTTGATATTTGTAGTCTGTGGGACAGTGCACCAGAGGGGCTAAAAATGTTAATTCAATTGACTTAATGACAAGGCAATAACAAATTGGAACCCTGTGCAGTATTAAAGGCATTGCATACATGTATGTGCACATATTGCATGTATTTCCATTTCTGGAGGATACATGTATAAAGCAAGAAGAACGCCGTTGTCCACACGTGTGATTGAGCCGAGTTTTTCCTCCTTCCTTTCATGAGTGAAATAATTCGGAGATTCAACTAATACTTTTACTGTCGCCATGGCTACCCGTACAAATCGCTCCTAGCATTCCAAATCGGTCAGTTATGCTGAAGACTGGAGAGATTGGTGGCTGATGGTAAAATATTTGCAGGTAGTTCACTACATTGCACAACACAAAAGCTGATGTTTCATTGGCTGAAATGGCCTAATGGCCTGGCTACACGTACATCGCATTTATCTGCTCTGTTCCAAAAGGGACTCTCTTTCTCTCTCAACAAAATATATGGCATCATCAATCAAATTATGACTTTTTTAACATTCTTGACAGATCTCATCGAGACAAATCGGTCAAATTAGTCAATGCTTTCAGCCGGGAACACAAATGTGTGTTTTCAAAGGCCATATCTTCGTTAATGGATATGTCGGGTACAGCAGATGATGTAAATCATAAAGTCATTAATTGTACACTTTGACATTTCAAGCTTTCCAACATCCATCAAGGATGGCAACGGTTGGTCTTATAACTCTCATGCCTTTGTGAGAAAGTGGTGGTGCTGATGTACTGCAGATTTTAACGGCATGTGCTCACATTAAAAAAACCTTTTTGTAAGGATACTGAAGTTCTGCCTTTGGCACTCATACAACTGGTTCAAATCAATTCACGTGGGATTTGGGTGACAGGAAAGATGATACGAATGTCTGTCTGATGAGAATAAACTGAACCAGCATAAATGTTGAGAAACTCACGAGGCAGGGTTAAAGTCGTTTGAGTTGATATATAGAGAAATTTGAGTCACGTGTATGATTATTGACGGTCAGCATTCAAGTTACAAAGACGTGCACAGAAACGTGCACCTTCGAAGTCTCTCAATATTTTTGCATACATGAAATTGCCAACAGAAATATCAAGATTCAAAAATGCATGCGCACGCCTCCACGAACATGGAAAGCATCCTGACATGCCCGTCATGTTACATCACGTGGAAAACCTCCATTTACTTTGTTTATACCCCAAACAACTTCTTTTTTTTGGCCATACAATTTGCATTTTTGTATCAGCAATTAGTCTCCTAACAATGAAATCTTTTGCTCACAGTTGCCTTTGGCAACTTATGACAACAATGGTAGGGAAGACCTTTTTTCTAGGAGCCTCTAGTACTCATGACAAACCATTACGTGATCAGTGATCCACAACTGAAAGAACTGAGCTACAAGAATACAATAAACAGCTTGAAGTGTTGCAGTAACTGCAATGCTCTAAACAAGTATGTACAATTAACTGAGCTTCCAGAAAAGTTGTTGGGGAATTTCACAAAGGCAGCTCTATTAGATACAGGAAACTGATGCCTTTCAGTTTATGAGTGAATAATTAATTACTCCTACGCATATCGAACAGGCCTCCCACAAATAACTTAATGTTAATTCATTTCTTAGTGTGTTCCCTCTTTGCTATAAAGTAGCATAAGGGACTTATGTTTGACATGACATTTTCTACATTGAAAATGAAGTGTTAAAGAATTTTTCAAAGCCATAAGGTAAATTCTTTAGAGCTTACATCTAATGCCACAGAGACAATGCAAAGTCAAAATCAGAATTCTTCAAAACAAAAAGTTGTTATGAGCTTTTCAAAAAAAAAGGAGAACAAACTGGAACTTTACAAATTTCTTAATTCTCTCCACGTTCATCAAAGCAGCTGCCTGAGCAAAAGAAGCCATATCCTTGCCGTTGTCTCGTCCAAGCACATGTACATCCAAGGCAACAGAGTATGGAGAAAACAAACGCTGACAAACATGTACATGTATGCACTCGTGACTAAGGAGTCACTGTTGCCAGTCTGCGTGTCTGCAGGCAAAGATTCAATGTCCAGATTCTGCTTCTTGGTGATGTACAATGTACATGTGGGTTAGTTATTCTAATCCTCCCACTTGGCAGAGTATTGCCAGCTCTGGGTAAACAGTTTGCCTTGTTGTGTGTGCCCTCGCTAAATATTAACATTGGCCACTCTGGGTTGCCTCTTTAGCATGCAAAGCCAGCACAAAGCCAGACTAAGATGCTCTGACATAACACATACATGTAGCTGCCCAGCTGAATGGCCAGAAAATCTCAGGGGTGACTACCAACCCAACAAAAACCCATCGCAGCCATAAACATTGACTTCCATAATAAAGGCCATCGAGATGCGTTGTTTGGTCCACTGGATGAATTTTTCCTGAGATCACAACACGGGGTTGCCCCAGAACACTGTAGAAATGACAGTTACATGTAAATATGGTGGTAACTCCATTTCTTTTTGGTTCAGTGAGGTACAATCCAAAGTCTGTTGCCAAGGAATAATATTCTGAGGAACCTATTTTCTCTAAGTTAATGATTTATACATGTAACTCTGCACTGCATTCATTCAGGCATCTTGGTACTGGTGCATAGGCCTACCTCTAACTTATGATCAGGCAATTTTATACCACAGCTGCTGAAGTCTCGTGGTTACAAAAACCACACGAGCAGTTCAGGTCAAACTTTCCTTATTTTGTCTGAACTGTTCTTTTGACACATGGGGCTGACAATACAGTCCTACAAGAACCTCTTCAGCATGGTGAGTTTTGCTTTGGTTTGTTTGCTCAGGCCAGAAATAGTTATGCTTCCTGTCTCCCAACCTCCCCTACCTGTATTTGACCCGGATGCTTTTGGTGGAAAAATTTGGGAAAATGTGAAATTAGAAATGAGGAAAGGAAAAATGTCTCTGTTGTGGTTTAGATGTGGGCCAAAATGTTCAACAGATTCATCAATGCACTCAAATTGTACCCTTAAATATACTGTTCAATTCATCCAAAACAAATACCACACAACTCCTGCTCTTATGTTCAAATATCTACACACGGTAACAGTATGGAAAAAATTCTCACCGACAGGTACCCTGTTTTAAGATGCCTTGTAACAGGAAGGCGCTTTCTTTTTATTTTTTGGCTTTAGCTGCTGAAGTGTATACATGTACATGATGTTCGTGGGCAATGCTGGGCTTTTGCCATACATGGATGGTATTCCATTCCCCCAAGTTTACATGTACATCCGTTCCATCTCTTAATTTGCAAAATGTAGAAATAAGCAGTGTCTTCACACTTCACACCGAGTTTGAAATTAAGAGTTTGAAAACAGACCAGTAGCAGATCTAACTTTATGGTTCTGATCAATCCTGCTTGTCTCTGATTTTACCATGGCTATACTACCGGTTCAAAACTTGCGTGCAATAATGGTCGGATGGACTTACTGAACACCTGCGTTGGAGTTCACATTAGGTACCACATTTCTCTATCACTATAGCAACACCCACATGAGAAGGCAAAAAATGATTTCCGCTCATTTATGTTTAAATATTAATTTCAATGCACAAACGTTTCACTGACACAAGGTTAAAAATTGACAATGAAATGGATCAAAGGCCCCTGACCAAAATCTATGAAGGGCACCGCCTCACAGCGGTGCCAAGAAATGAAAGATTTCCATCAACATAATTGAACAGGAATATGTTTACCCCTACATTTCATTCCAATTCCAGCCTACCTCCTCTCAGAAACCTAAATATCTAATCATAAGAAGGGACAAAACGTAAGAAGTGCCCAACACAATAAGGTGATGCATTTTTATGCACTGGTCCAGCATATAACAATTCTAAGAGAGAGGCTAAACTGCACTACACAAATTAAATTATTAAAAGGCCAAATAGCCACGAATTTGAACTATGCTGTACATCTGAAAATGGGCAGAGATGTCAAGGCATGTCTGAATCGTCTGGTATCATGGTTCCCCAAAATATTTTCCTGAAACAGTTCTCAAGTCGGGACAGCTGACTTCCTGGTGAGGCACAACAAATGATGAAAATTGGATTGCAAGAGTTGAGTTCGTTACATTAAAAACAATGCGTGCTCAACCGAAATTGACTCACGTACATGTAACGGTACCGGTATGTCAGGTGAAGCTGAGATTTACAACAAAGGATAAAATGTTTCTTCAGGAAACAGGAAAATCCAGTAGCAACAAGGGGCTTTCATGATTCCTCATCAATGCAGTCACTGTACTTTTTTTT